AGGCGACGATGGTGACAGACTGACAATGAAGAAATAAACATTATTAGCTATATATTTTGATAAAGTTATAAATTTATGATCTTTTTAAATACTACGTATGATTTGAACGCATTGCACAAAATATGTATCTATTGGTAAACAAGGTCATATTCTAGTGACAACTTTTCTTAAAAAGGGTACTTTTGGTCAAAACGAAAGACTTGACTTTATTTGTCATCATAGAATAAAGTCATAAACTCCTAACTCGAAGGTTGCTTCGCTAATAACGCCCGTAAAAACTAGTCCAATTTACACAATACTTTTGTTTCCATTTGCAACATCTATTTGAAAGCTGTGTGAAAACCGAAGATGAGTAAGATTTGTAGTTTAGAGCTAGAAAAAATTTGAGATATCATGAGCACATCAAAATAAGGTACGGAGTACTAAGAAGCTGTTCTCTTCGCCTGATCTGAATGTTTCTGATCTGAATTTTTTAAGTTCTGATCTGATCTGATCGGAATTTTTCTGATCTGATCTGATCTGATCTGAATCTTTCTGATCTGATCTGATCTGATCTGAATCTTTCTGATCTGATCTGATCTGATCTGAATCTTTCTGATCTGATCTGAATGTTTCTGATCTGGTCTGATCTGATCTGAATGTTTCTGATCTGATCTGAATCCTTCTGATCTGATCTGAATCTTTCTGATCTGATCTGATTTGAATGTTTCTATGATTATAATTATGATTATAATTATAATTATAATTATTATAATTGCAATTACAAATATAATTTAAATAAAATTATAATTATAATCGTAACTATAATAATAATAATAATAATAATAATAATAATAATAAAAACTAAAATTAAATTTAAAATGAAAAAATTTATACCTATTACACTAATTATAAATATAGATATAATTATAACTGTAATTATATTTTTAATTATAATTACTTATATAATTATAATTGTAATTATAATTACAATATTTATCTCTATAATTGTAACTATAGTTATCAATATTATTATAATTACTCCGTAAAATAATTACAATAGTAATAATAATAATAATAATTATTATTATAATAAAAATAATAATTATAATAATAAATTATAATTATAATATAATTATAAGTATAATTATAATTATTATAATTATAATTAATAATAATTATAATTATATCAAATTTAATTATAATATTATAATATAATAATATAATAATATAATTATTATAATTATAATTAATAATAATTATAATTATATTAACATTAATTATAATATTATAATATAATAATAGTACTATAAATACAATTAATATTATCATAACGATGTTATTATATTAATATTATTATTACAATATATTAATAATAATACGATTATTATTATTATTAGTATTATATTATTATAATATTATATTATAATTATAATTATAATCATAATTATAATTATGATGGTAATTATAATTATAATTAATTATAGATATAATTATAATAATTACAATTGATTATACTTATAATTATTAGAATTATGATTGTAATTATAATTATAATTACATATAATTATAATATAATATTATAATAATATTAATCATAGTATTATTATATTGTAATAATAATAATAATAATAATAATAATAATGATAATAATAATAATAATAATAATAATAATAATAATAATAATATTAATAATAATAGTCTTCTTAATAATTGCATTTATATTACTATTATTATATTAAAATATTATAACTATTATTAATATCTTATTTCTTTATCATATTATTATTAATATATTAATAATAATTATATAATAATAATAATCATAATAGTAATAACAATATTAATAATAATAATTAATATAATAATAAAAGTGATAAATCATGTTTGAACTTTTCTGATCTGATCTGATCTGAATGTTTCTGATCTGATCTGAATGTTTCTGATCTGGTCTGATCTGATCTGAATCTTTCTGATCTGATCTGAATCTTTCTGATCTGATCTGATCTGATCTGAATCTTTCTGATCTGATCTGATCTGATCTGAATCTTTCTGATCTGATCTGATCTGATCTGAATTTTTCTGATCTGATCTGATCTGATCTGAATAAAATAAGAATAAGCAATAAGTAATAAGAATAAGACGAACAGAACAGCACCTAAATTGAGTTAAATGGGGCAACATGTCAAAGAGTACCTGATAATTAAATACAATTATATGTAAACGGACTAAATGGTTTTTTGAGAGTTTCCCCCAAGTACGGGTACTTTTTTATGTTATTTTCGGGATAATTTTAAACTTATTTTCCAAATAAGAGTGCTTTTGTCTTGCTATCCGCCATGTCAGCATAGTGGCCACTCAACATAATAACTACGTCACATATTCCACATATATGCCATGTCAGCATAGTGGCCGGTTCAAACAGTGTCCGGGCCGGGCCGGTTCCGGGGCGGACCGGGCCCGGAACCGGACACTGTTTGAACTGGCCCGGCCCGGGAACCGGGCCATAGGGCGGTTCAGGTCGACCCGGCCCGCTAGTCATACGGTTCGGGCTCGGGCCCTAGGAATGGTGAACCGGCCCGGCTGGTCCGGGCCAAATTTAATTTTTTTTTGATTTTTTTTTTAAGTTTTTGGGTTGGGCTGGGTATTTTGGGCCATTTGAGGTGGTTTGGGGGTGAGGGGTGAGAGTTGGGAGTTAATTAGGAGAAGCCAAAAAAAAATAGATTGGACCGAGGCCCGGCCCGAACCGGACCCGGGGGTTACCCGGGCCGGTTCCGGGCCTCCCATATCTGAACCGTGAACCGACCAGGCCCAGGCCCGAACCGGCCCGAGGCCATGCCTACATTGGCTCTCCATATGATATATCATCAAATCTAGGTGTGCTAAAAATGTTGTAAAAAATTAGACCTAGAGAGAATAGAACCCGACCAAGCGCACAACATAGCTTCCACACCACTAAGATTACTCACTTCAAAATTTTGGGATATTTAAATTATTTTCCCCTAATTTATTTTATTTTCATGATAATAATAAATTTAAAGGTGAATGTGATGAATTAGTAATAAAGTTGAATATGACGAATTAAAGGAAAATGGGAGTTGATTAAAATAAGTGAATTGAGTTATTAGCAATATTCCAAAAATTATTGTGCAATAAAAATGAAACAGAAGACATCAACAACCAAGGCTATGCTAATGTTAGGTCTTTTCAATCTTCATGTTTGTTTTCAACACTTAAGAACTTAATTTATCTACCTCATCAATAACTTCTCGGATGATCTTTTCTTCGCGTGTTTCAAGTAGGCATGGATGGGGCCGGGCCGGATCAAACCTCGGGCCCGGGCCCGGGCCCGAGCGGGCTTCGGGACTAATGAAATCAGGTCCGGTACCGGTCTAGGCTACCCGCCCGAGCCCGGGTTGGGTCGGGCATGTGTTATTTTTTTGTTAACTTTGTTTTTTTGAATTAATTCCAATCCCCACCCCCAAACCGCCCAACCCCACCCATCTAGCAGCCAGCCTAATGGGGAAAAAATGATTGGTAACCATTAGGCCCAAATCGGCCGGTCCTGTCCACCAAATTAGGAGCCCGTGCCCGCCTCCCTTTTCTGCCAGGCCGCGCCTAAATAACAGCGGCCCGGGTTGGGCCGTCCAGGCCCGGTCCATCCCTAGTTTCAAGTCATCTCAATCTTGGGTTAATTTATGCAAGCTCCACCAAAATAGGAGCCCGTGCCCGCGTCCCCTTTCCACTGGGTCGGGCCACGCCTAAACAGCAGCGGGCCGGGTCAGGCCGTCCGGACCCGGTCCATCCCTAATTTCAAGTCATCTCAATCTTGGGTTAATTTATGCAAGCTCCTCCACTGCTTCTCGTTTCACTATTTTCAGTACCTTCTATAAATTTAGACATTTAAGTATTAAACTGTTAAATCCTGAATGGAAATAGATTAAAAAATTAATACGTATTAATTTGTTATTAAAAAGAAGTGAAAATAATATAATATAGAGTAGGGTTTTAAGAAATAAACTGTGCAGTGTATCAAGTGAATCAAAGAAGCACATGCAACTCATATTTGAACTGTGCTGATTATCGTTGTTAAGCTTTTAATATATCACTCGGCACTATTATCGTTTATAATGTATTAATTTGATGCAGAGGATAATCTATTAGTAAAAGTTGCCTTCATGTTAGATAAATCTCTTCTGCAGATGCATATGTTAGTAACATGTTCATCCAAAAGCAGCAATCCCATTGAAAGAGGAATTTCTGATTTGTTACGTAGTATTATTAATTTTTATCCACAAACAAACTATTTTAAGAATAATTGTCCAGGTTTCCTTTGCAGGTGCTAATGCAGTTAAGAGATCACACAGGAATGTGATATTGTGATGGCAGGAGGTGAATATGAATGAAGATTATGGGTTTGAGTTCTGAGCGGCCGTAGTTCTAAGATTATGAAGGGTGGTGCAGAATAAAGATAGTGTGGTTTAAGAGAGTTAAAATTTTGTATTAGATAAGGGTGGTGCTTGGTGGCTCGTGTTATTAGTGTTTGAATTATATTCAATCCCAATTCAGCTTAATCTTAATAGGAAAAATGTCAAAAACGTGACTTCCACTGTTTGCCAAGACAAAAATGAGACTAAATCCCGGAATGACAAAAAAGTGCCTACAATACTACATATATAATCTTAATATGAGTTGACTACAAAGAGTTGATATGTACATGAAATAAAAAAATGAGTGTTTGGTGTACATCATCACCTACATTCAAGATCTCGTCACATATATAAGCTGGAATGGTAGTTAAAGCAGTTATAATTAGTCATTATTTTCTATTTAGATTAGAATCATTAGATACAACTTTTTTCCCCACAAATAAATTTGGCAAACTGAATAAACGGGTGTAATGTGCAATAGGAATACAAAATTGTCTCCTAACCCTCTTTTTCCTGAATACAATTCAATTATTCATTTCATTTCTATCTTCTTCCATATCCTTATATCAAGAACTCTAACAGAGCAGAAATGGTGGCGCCAGATTAGCAAATAAAAAATGTGTTCTATGTGTGCTAGATCAGCATATAAAAAATATATATTATGTATATTTATGAAGCAAAAAGTAAAGATATGATTTACTTACAGTTAATTGTGAATATAGAAATGTATTACTTTACAACATGGTATCAGAGCCTCTTGCTTCAACGTCATTTTCATTCTGATGGTGCACCCATGATGTAGATGATGAGGTTCATCTAGCACTTTTATAAGCATGTGAGGGTGCTGATCAGGCTCCGTGTGATTTGGGAGTCAGTACAATCTGATGCCCATTGTGATAAATGTTTCCAGATGAATCCATTGAAAGAAGAAACTAATTATATGAAAGGGAGAAACTTGTGTATATTCATCATATCCATTCTATTCAATCCTCGTAGCTCGAGAGCCGAGTATCTGACAAGACAGAGAACAGTTGTGTATCTACAAATAACTGCAAAATAATGATAATGATAACAGTTATGTCGAAGTCAAAGTCAGGTGAAAGATAATGACCTTGAATCAAAAAATAACACCATTCTTAGCTAATACACTATAGAAGAAATATTGCACAAGATTTCATCTGCATTTTATGATTGGAATGATAGAATGAGATGAGTTTGCTGAAAATGTGACTGATTGTCTAAATGAGGGCAAAAAAAATATTTTTCTCCATTAAAGACGTTCCAGGCCAATAGGATGAAAAGATTTAAATATTATTATTGTAGTAATAATATTTCTCTCAATTAAATATTTCTAGACAGCTTTAAAAACGGTTCATATTATTATTGAAGTAATTATAAGCAGGGTCCGTAAAAAACACAAATAGGATGGTGTTTGGTAAGAAATCAGGCTTATGAGAGTAATTAGTCACATAAGTACACTGCCAAACACACTTAAGTTTCGGTCAGTCCCAAAACTCAATACATAAGCAAAGGATATGTTAGTTTCTAACAGGTAGAACATAAAACAACGAGTTTTACCTTGATAAAAGATTGATCCCTAGTGGGAAAAGATGCAATAAAGCTATCCTTCATCAATAATGAAACCTGAAAAGAGGAAAAAAGTGAAAATTAGTTTCTACATATATAATAGAATGGTTGTTCAATTTTCGACGCAAGAAATTTCACTCGAACCCTGTCATTGTTTGACTGAACGCTAGTGATTGTGTGAGTCCTCAAATCTGAACAAAGGGATTCCAAGTACTGCCTCATAACTGTCAAAAAATTAGTAGCAGCCTCAGCCTGCGACCAAAAGCATTGTATTCAACAATTCTCCCTCCATTAAATACACTTGTTTTAATGAAATGACAAATATTATGATATAAAATATTTCAACCAAATATTAACATGGTATCGGAGCCAACCGATCCATAACCATGGTGTGGGCCCCTATGAAAAATAAAGAGGGGATCATAAATAATTGTGAAACAGATGGAATGAGTAAAATGGTATCTTAAAGAATAGAAAATAGTAGTTATAGAAATATATGAGTAGTTTTGGTAGAGTATTATAGTGTCCTAATCTCATTAGGTTTCTCAATCCAATTAGGGTAAGGCTTATAACTTCTCTTTAAAAGCACTGTAATATTTGGAAGTAATAATGAAGTTGTGAGTCAAGTCATAAGAATAAAAGTAGTAGTTTATAATTCAATACATCTGAAGAAAACGGGACAAATGAAAGGATGTGAATTCAAAATCAGATACAATGCCAAGAAATGAAGATAGTTGGAGAAACTAATGCATTAGACTTGAGAAAAAGAGAAATCCCCCCTTATTTATACAATAAGGAAGCATTATACTGTTCTTAACCATGTTTAGTGAAGGATCAATGTTTGGAAACCTGTACATCATTGCATCTATACGCAGGATGCCCCTGAGCAGCAAAATCATCATGTTCCAATCTTGTATGGATCGGTTGCAGTTCTGAAACAAGCTCCTTAAACCGGGGAAGTGATGGCATGTAACATGGTTTTGCCTACCATCCCCAATTAGAGATTACAAAATAAGATGAAAGCACTTTTAGGGTCTGGGAATAAAAGTTTTTGCAGAGGAAAGCTTTGGAGGGCTTAATCAGGACATATAGTTGAAACTTTATAAAAATTGACAGACTAATAGTCTCATCGTTTCAGGTTGAATTTAAGTTCTTCTAAGTTTAATTCCAGGTTCTTTAGAGGACTTAGGTTTGTCTTAAAATCTCGTATAACTCAATTTTGGAGAACCTTTTAATTAGATGTTGTCAGATATTAAGTGCTCTTTATAAGTAATTTAATATGGGCTAATCGAGCTAGGCTAGCTTAACTTCTTCAAAAATAACTTTAACTGCATTCGACTGGGTTAATTTACTAATTATCCATACTGACAATTGTATATTCCCACTTGGGTTAACCTTCTCACCCATTTTTATTAAACTTAGGGTCATAAAGCTCATCAAGTTTACTTAAATTCACTTTGTCCAAACGGAGCATAAACTTCTTATGTGATTGTGTAACATCTTAATCACCTTTTATTTCTTTTTAAGACATTATATTTATCAAGATAGCGTAGACCTCAAAACCTTCCCCTCCAAAACTCTTCATCCACATAGATTTTTAGGATTTATGAGAAAGTATATCAGTGGGTCAACAGTCTTGAACAACTCTCACGTTAACTAAAATGATAAACTATACTCCGTAGATATACTTCCCTATTTCCATTTCATTGAAGTGTTTTGGAAGAAGTTTCTGAAAATGAATATACGGAGATTGAAATGTTGTGTGATCATTTAATATGCTATTCCTTTATTCTTTTTATAAAATCTCCAATATATACACACGCATACATACGGAGTATATATTAGAGATTTTATAAAAAGAAGAAACCACCGGATGTGCTCTCAAAAGCTAAACCAACCTGGTCTTTAGCTACATTTACATAAATAAGGTTAGATATTTTCGTCCTCAAGTCGGCTGGTTTCTGTTGCAAGCCAACCTGGGAAAAAACAGAATCCAATCAATGAAATCTTGTGAAATTGTGGTTGAAATGACTGAAGTGATGAGGCTACTGAAATTGTGGTTTAAATGGCTTAGCTGACCATATTATTATTGAAAAACTAAAATTCATTTTTGTAGTTACTTGGAGAGAATAATATCTGAAAATAAGGGTAAAATTCTTTTATTTCATTTAAATATAAGTAACTCCTGCACTTATCAAGCTGGATTTTTAAATGTGCATTCAACTCCACACTGGACATACATAAAAAAGTGAAGCCAAATGGAAAAACCTAAAAGTGCAAGGCATGAAGAATAATAGTATATCAAATTTATCGCAGCAGAGAACATCTTGAAACAAAATAAAATAAATCTTACAATGAAAGGAACTGGAGCATCTAGTAAATCAAGCATCTTCCATGGCAAAATCTGTAAGTATGCATTAACATAATGGTAAAAAGGAAAGATGGTTAACTTCAACTATGTATTAAATATAGAGCATATCATTAGCGAGTTTGATATGACAAATGGAAATGAACATGCTACAGATCATAGAGTCAACCAATAAATATTTAAATGTCAACAGCATTTCAATGACATAAAAAATATTAGTGGGTTGGAGAACTTACTGGAAGAAACAAACTCTGCCACTGAAAAGGACGAATGATAGGAATAATAGATAAGACAAGAGCTGAAAGAACTCCCTGTATTTGTGGAAAGTAATTAAAGAAAAGGCAGAGAACAACGGAGAGCCACTAAAGCTTGATGAATTTCAACAAAAAACATCAAAATCTGAATGATCATATTTCATAAATTACCAAATTCGGGCATACGAGAACCACTTGTTTTTCCAGTAGCACACCAGTGACCAAGGTCAAAATCTAGAAACAGGTGGAGCATACATCAATCTCATGGGGGGATATAGAGCAGAACTGAAAAGAACATTTGAGAGGGAAATAAAAGCAGGCTCAGAATCAATAATTTTATTTTACATAAATGTTTAAACTCATTTTAATTTATATTTGTATTATACAAAGATTAAGAACTACAGATATGTGTAAATTTCTAAACAATTAGTTGATTATGATTTTCTTGTGTGTTTCCAATGTACAATCAAACACCCACTGAAAACTACTTTCCTTAGCACTTCTTTCCCTTTTCCTAGCATTTTCCATGATCCAAACAGTCCCTCAAGTAATGACTCAAAAGAAACTTACAGTTTCAAGAGAAAGAGCTCGGCAAGTTGCCGCAGTTGTCCACACAGAGAGTGCAACAGCTTCCTCAGCAGCAGCTAAATCAAAGTCGACCTTAATATAATAAAATACTATGAGCTTTCATTTCTAAATATTTATTTACTTAATAATACAAAAGAAAAACAGGGACAAAAGGTCAAACCTTAGCAATCATTTCTAAATCCTGTTTTCCAACAGCTAAATCCTCATTACTAATTCCGAGTTCAGATATTGAAGATCTCTTAAACTTGATACGTGGAAGATGCTCAAGGGGATGAAACACAATATTACTTCCCCGTGATGGAAGAGGCAAGGAATGATAACTGCAAACTATCTGCAGCAATTCATTATTATTTTCCTGCCAAACAGATGAATAAAGGCCTGAGGACTTCACTTCACTTATGTTAAACATGGAACTTAAGTGCAGAAAAACTCGTTACCTTAGCCCATTCCATTATCACATCCGCAGCATCTTTCTCATGGTTATGGCATAACTCATCATCCTCATCCTCTGATAAAATAGTTCTCACTGCACTGCAAATTGAATAAATAATGTACGTGTGGTAGAAGAAATAATGGTCATATGTTGAGTATCCAACATTGTTTGCCTACTCTATTTGAGCTTTCTAAAATGTAATTGGGAGACAAAGCTCTCTTCTTGAGGACCTCAACTTTTGGGAGTGTTGGAACAAATTTAACAATCTTCAAGGGATTATTTAACCAGCTTAGTTTTGGAACTATTAAGTATCTCATATCATATGTTTACCTGATTAATATCTAATATATAATACCACCTCCTTTCTTTTTTAGTTGCAACATGTTGCAATTCGTCTTATATTCACATGCTCTACTTTGACTACATTTTCTTTATTAATGTATAATATTTTTGTAAAAAAAATTGTTGAATTCGTCTCATTACAAAGTTTCAAAATCTGATTTTTTACTAACATAGAATTATATATATTGATGGTCAAAGTTGTGCATTGGGAAACGTGAAAATGGGAGTATTGCAACTAAAAAGATACGGAGGAAGTATGAGGTAAACCTCACCTCTTGAGGATTCTTTTGGAGTGAGATAGGACCATTTTAATATGGTATGAGAGCAAGTTTTGGCCTATTTTGTTTGTGTGGTTGTTAGTTTCGGGTGTCTAGTTTGCATGTGACCACAAAATGACTCAGTTCTCCATTTAAAGGGGCGTGTTAAAGTGTCTCACGTAAAATGTTTACCTGATCTATGTCTAATATGTAAATATGAGGTAAACTTCACCTTTTGAAAATCATGTTGGAGTGAGTTAGGCGCAATTTGTCAGGAGCCACAGAAAGACATAAGTTGGGTCTTGGTGCAGGTGCAGTATTTAAATCCTTAAGTATACTGTTTAGTGGAGTTCAACGGCATGTAAATCGTCTAATTTATGCAAAAGTCCCTTTTAGTAGAGGACAAATGTATATTCTGAGGTGTACGGAATAGAAATTCGGAGAATAAAACAGAAAGAATTAAATAGATGATCAAAAAACATAAACTGGAAAAAATCTACCAAAAGGGATGTAAAACCTGAATAAGGAATCGGAACTGCTAGGACGATCCAATGAACAGTCTCCTGAGCAGATACTTGAGGGTCCTGCTTCTGGGGGTTGAGTATTATGTTGAATAATATCATCATTCCTTTCTAATGCCTTAGATGCACAACAATCATCAAAGCAATGAAGCTTTTTTACATCATCCTTATTGAATTCTTCAGATGGGCAATCACTGGCAGCCACGCTTACTGGAGAAGAGAGTTGACACGTTGATGAAGACGATGGAAGCTCATCATCCCATATAATCCCAGCTGCAGCAGCAGTTAAAGCAATTGCACTGTCAACGGGTATGGCAGAATCCATCCAACTGGTATCATCTGGACCTCTATCGTGATCTTGTGACTTGGACGGAACTGGATAAGGGACATAATCAGAAATAGTAGTACTTCTGTTAATGACTTGGGTTATCCTATTTAGGCGCTCCTGTGCAATTAGACTGCATCCAAGAAAAATGCATATAATGAGCCCTCAAGAAGTGCCAACATCAGCAAAATACGATTTAATGGATGAACCCATTTAATAAGTGTTAGACAACCCCTACCTCTCCCTCTTGAGAGTTCTTTTCGTGTTGAGTTAGGCTCCATCTTATTTTTAACATGGTATAATATGCATGACCCCATGAAGAAAACTGTCTGGACCAACACATGTGTCTCGCCATGAGAGAGGTGTTTAAAAGTTTCTCACTAGACTAAGTATGAATGAATCCCTTCATAAAGTATTGCTTAATCATCATATCTTGAGAGCTCTGTTAAGACTGAGTCAAGAACTTAAGCCTAAATTTTTTCTTAACGTTGATATGAACTCATGAAGGGTTTGAAATGTGGGGCATTCTTAGGCAGGCAGTCTGATTAGGAATCCTAGGATCCACACAAAAGCCCGACTAAAGCCACGCGCAAAGAGTTATACAACAATTTGACCAACTAATTGAATATAATATCTTTCCAAAAAAAACTAATTGAATATAATATATTTGTTGAGCACTTGAGCAACAAAGACAATATGTAAAAACCAAGAATATAATATATTTGTTGAGACTAGCTATTAAACACATACCTGTTCAACATCTCATAGTGTAATTCAAAGAAAGGAACTCTAGTTAGAACACAGTAGCAGCGTGGTGCAGAAACCAAAAATTGACAGCTACCTCCCGGTGAAAGGCAAAGAGGTGAAGAGTTTCCATAGATAGCCGGTGGCCTTTGTACAATTTCTCTCACTTTTAAACAAACACCATAGAGGGTAGCATTGTCCCCTACCTGATCAAATACAGATAGAGATGATGACAATAAGTTTGAAAGAATTTGTCTCACATCTACTAAACATGAGATATCGAAGAGAACTTCAACTTACCTTGAGGGAAAATACAAATGAAAAGTCATCCCTGTTTAAATGCTCCTGCAGATAAGATTTGAAAAGAAATAAAGTACAATTAGCTTTACCTAGTATTCACTAGAAGGCTAGAGCCATTAGATGCTCGATGCAAGATTGATTTACTAATTACGCAGTACTAAATAACACAAGGCAGAAAGAAACATTATCCTTGAACATCATGCATACCTGCCCATAGACCAGTTGATTCAACTCACTCAATGATGGGGTTCTCTCCAACACGTGTGCCTTATTTAAAGAAAGATACAGATATAAACATTATCCCCTTGCTGAGTTTGATATGTTATTATATGATACAGATCTTGTTTAAGAAAATATATCACAAAATTTGCAACATTAGAACATTCAAAAGGAGCATTAAAACAATAGAAAGTTTTAACAATTTGGATCAGCAGGATATAAACCTTAACACCTCCAGGAAAGCAAAAAGCTGCCAAATCATGTGGACGCATATGCATCTTCTTTCCAGGAGGATACTTAAAAAGTATCTGCAACCAAGAAAAATACCAAAACATCACACTATTATTATAGCAATTCCACATGTTCTGTATTAAAAGCATATATATTTACCAGCTTCATCTACAGAAAGATTTTCAACATCAATTTGAAAACACTGTGCAATTAACCAATGAATGAAAGCAGCACAATCAAATGATTTCCATAGAAACTGTCAAAGTAATCGTGAATCAAAGAATATGTCTTTAGTGTCTTAAGGAAAAAGAAGAAGAAGAAGAAGAAGCAAATTATGGAATATTTAAAAGCACAAATTGACAATTTAAACAAGCCACTAGACCTGAGGTTCTAGAGAAGGAAGTGAAGGGGCACGGTGAGGTAGCATTCTGAAATCCACCAGATCATGAGATTTTTGTAACTCTAGCTCCCATTTCTTCTTCTTAGCAAACGCATCCTCGGCAGCCTTAAGATTAGCCTCGGGATGAAGACCCACTATAATGAAGTGTTCAAAAAGTGAGGTAGGTTCCTTATATTTCTTATAGTCCTGCATGCCGTTCTCCTTAATTAATATAGTCAAATGAAATGGTATGTGATGCTTCTCACTTTGAGCAAGTAGTACTTCAAACCCTTCATGAGCTCATATATAAACAAGTATAAACTTTGCTTGTAGGTAAAAGATTAAGCCACTTATAAAATGTGCAATAGTTTAAACTATCAACAAATACACAAGTGCTTTGGAGATGAACTATGAGCCAACTGTGCTCATGGGTATGGCTCAAAACGGCAGACAGAGTGAGCCAGAATGGTAGCATCAGGTTAAATTCCAGGTAACTACGCTAGGGGCGATATTGATGAGGATGGGACACCGATAAGTAGAAGGTGCAGGCCCCACACTATATAAACTAGATATTGATTATACCTCGATTTACCATTTTGGAGCCCTCACAGGCATGGTAACCTTTTTATACTAACTAAATAGCTTGAAATAGTTTTCTAGTGAGACAAGGCAGAGGCAACTAACTAGTCATGATCAATTAGAGTGGAGCTCCCGTCCTCACGCTCAAATCCAGGATGAGCTCGATATTGTCTTTTTGGGCTAATCCATACGTGTTCTTTTGGTTTGTCCAAAATGTTACATACCAAATCATTCAAGTTAAGTGGATATTTATGATCAAGACAATTCTCTTTTCATATATTTACGTGAAACCCCAACACCAAATGATAATATTGATTATGCTGGGATCAATCTGGGCAGAGAGGGACATTTACAATAATATTGATGAGAATGCGAATGATGCATGAGATAAGAATGAAGGGATTGAGAAGAGGAAAGCTAGATGCATTATGCATACATACCAGCGCTTTGGGATGAAGCTGATACCATAGACGCTTTTGATTGGCAAGAATCTCAGGATTGAAAGAAGGAGAAGCGGGACAAAATGGGCTTTCTTCATGAAAATGAAACCCCCATCGCAAAGCTCTTTGCATCTGTACCTTCCATTTCTGGAAATTATTAGCATTACCACCACCAATCCTATGATGAACTGAAGAAGAAGAGGCAGAAGAAGAAGATGATGGTGTCAGAAATACTTCACTGCGACTTCTTCTATGTGTGGCCGACCGCAATGCTGCCGGCGGCACCGCCTGAATGCCGAGAAGCGCCTCACCCGTCACTCTCACCACCTCTTCGGAGATTTGATGCAACACCTGAGAAGGCGGTGTTTGCCATTCCTCTCTGGACTCCCCTTCTTCTTTTGGTGGTCTCATTTTATTAACAGCCTAATTTCGTTTTGCAGGGAAGCTGAAAATGAAAAACAAGACTCCGGATCATATCACACTGGAGTATAAGGATGCCCGCGACAAAGCTGTTCTGTCTTCTTAGAGAATAACGGACCATAATACAGTATATGTATATACTCCCTCGGCTAAATAAATTCCTAATTTAAATTTACTAATTCTCAGATGAAATTAATTTTTTATTGACATGTCCTTCCTAAAAAAAAGTACGCAGTACTTCGGTAAAAAACTGTTTTATCACTCAAATATTAGCAAAAATAGAATAGAGACATGATATGAACTGAACAATAGCCGTATATTGAGGTGGACTGTATAAATAATTATTTTAGAAAAAATGTTTCTCGATTTTTTTTATCTTGATAATTCAATTGAAATTGAATATGCAAAATCTTGGCTAGTAACAATTTCATTAATCAAGATTAAAAATATTTTTATTTTTCAGTTTCAGACCAGAAAAGATAGACCCAAATCAGACTTGGATATTTATAAAATACACACAGATCAGACACTTATCAGACCAGATCAGGAAAATTTCAGTCCGAGTGAAAACATCCTAAGACAAAGTGCACACATTGGATATCATTGTTTTCTTCCTAAAATTTGACTCATTCAATCCCAGAAGTAAGAGCCTGTTTGATGACAATTTTTTCAGCTTATGAGGCTTATCAATCATCTTTTCACTAAACACCTAACTTTTGATTTCGCGCGCTAAAATAAGTAAAGTTGAAACTACTTTTCTGGTTGTGTTGACTGAAGTTGCTGTAGATGACTATTTTAGCTCTTTTTCATACGGAGTATAATATACTCCCTCCGTCCCAAAAAGGTTTGCTAACTTTAACTTTAGTCACATATTCTTTACTTTAAATGGAAATGGTAAATCTTTTTGGGACATCCAAAAAATGAAATTTGGCAAACTTTTTCGGGACGAAGGGAGTATTCTTTATTTTATTAATAAATATATTTTAAATATATTTTTTTACACAAGTTGCTCAATTTTGAAAAAAAAAAACACAATTTAGAGGGTGAAAAATCATCAATATCTAAACTTGAAATGACAAAAATTGTGATGTGTGATATTAGCTAAATTCCAAGTTTTTAAAAATAACATCTCATTCACTTATCAGCCATGTAAAGTTTCTAATATCTACTTCCTTACTAATAAAGTAGAACCTTCTAATTGAAATTGAATTTTCAATTAATTGCTATTGAATCCAATTAGTAAATAGTCATTAATGGTAATTAATTCCTAAATTCATACTACGTAGTATTTACTCATTTGATTACTATTGAGCCCAAATAGTGAATATTCATTATATTAATTGCAATTAAATCCTAAATTCATAGTATTTATATATATTACGGAGGAGAAAAGTTCACCCACGGAATTCCGGAGTAGAACCGCAGTCTGCATGATTTTTTAGCATGTTCTTCATGAGGTTTAGATTATATTCACAAAATTTCATCTTAAAATTCGATTAATAAGTCAGTTAAATACATTATTGAAAAGTACTGCATTTTATATATAAATATTTTGACGTAGTTTTTTCAATAATTTTTTTAATTGACTTCCCGATCGAATTAGTTTTCCTGATAGGATACCCAATTAAAACAATAGTTTCTGTTGAAAAATATGCGATGAAAATGTCTGTGTATTTTAAACATAAGATATAACGATGAAAAACTAATTGATATAAATTTCTCATTTATTTTAAAATTTTACATTTTTTCTTTCAAAAATGTCTAATACATTAATGAATAAAATATAACCAAAGTAGGATGTGCGATTAGTGTAAAAATCAACATGTTTAGTATATATATTGAGTTTGTGTCATTTTATTCCAACAAATGGAATCACAAGAACACATTGAGGTCTTAAAATTTGTAGAAAATGCACAGTGCAAGTAATTATTATTAGTCATATATATTGTTAAATAAACTCCATCTATACGTCTTCTAAAACTAATTCCAAATCATCTTTTAATTTCCTATTCCCATAAATATTGTCGCATTACCTACAATATTCATCAAGGAAGTGCCAAGACAAAATTGTTGCATGCCGCCTCTTTGAATATGGGATGAAGTTGTGCTGATATACGAGGCATGTTCTAAGGTTTTAGACGTTACGCCAACAAACATCATGAGTAACTAACTACTTGCTATCGTTGATCGATGGCTTAGGAGTTACATATATTAGTTCAATTAATATTATTCCTTCACACACCGATACTACTTTCCATGTTGATATGCACAATTTCGAATATGATCTTAATAGCGCTTCAATGGTTGGATTGGCCAACCAAGTCCTTCATTTGAAAATCGGAGCCCCGATAATGTTATTGGGGAATACCGAGTATTAATCATGCATAAGTTTTATTCAATAGAATGTAATTGGTCATAACCAATGAAAAACAAGTATGACAAGTCATAATTTGAAAAGTTACCAAAGAAAAAATATATTTATTAAAAATCTCATTGTCACCATATGACAACTTTATTCAATTTCGAATAAACCAATTTCTTGTGATGGTAAGCTTTACAATGATAATCAATAAAAGTCAAGGCTAAATTTTGCCAAAAAAAAAGGTCTCACATAAAATATGATTTATACCTTGAAAGAGAAGTTTCATTAATGATCAATTGTACATTGTAATACCAAGAGTAATGCGTAAATATATCTTAAGATATCATATGTTCAAAAGAAACAAATTTCTTCACTAAGACGATGATTGAATGTCGTTTATAAAGAGGTTTCCCCATTTAAACCTAATAATGCGACGTTTGGTTACAATGTAATGTGCAGTGTTACATTACAATGTCAATTTTTAATATATTCTGTGTAGATAAATTACTATTCGCAATCAACAAAAAATTATTTGAAGTAAAACAATTAATTGTTTTTATATTCACAACAAAAAATTATTTGAAGTAAAAAAATTATAAAGTATTCAAACATTCACAACTTTTGCTCGGGGCAACGCCCGGGTAAAACACTAGTATTACTTACACATATATCAAACCAATAACTCTCCATGATTCATTTGAATTATTTTGAACTAACATTTATCACACTATATATGAATTATTCAACTCAAATTACCTTTTCAAATCGTACACAGTCAATGCTTGACCCCCCATGCCATGTTTTGTGACTCTGCCACTGCCCATATGACTACAAACAACTTAGCTTCTAAGAAGATATGGACATCCAACGCCTGGCTTGGGGTAATCTCACATGAAGGCAGAAACGTGATGCAAGAAATGTTAGATGTGTCTATGTTTGGTTCGTGGGTTTGAGAAAAAAAATTAGGAAAGTTACATACCCGAGAATGTAATATGGAGGGGAATGTTAAACTCATTCATATCTTAAGTTATCTGACATTCGAAAATTGCCTCAATTGACTATCTCTTTTCATTTAATTTCTGTTCGACTCTTCCATTTAAATGTTCCCGTCCACTATTCTCCAATCAATGTAAATGTTCTTAATATTTTACTTTATATATACAACTTTTATCTTATTGTAATGTAATTTCTGGATATATAAATTTTATTTACTAAAAATAAATAAATAATCTTATTATTAACAGGATTCGGTTAATTTTATGGTCAAACAAATAACGTAAATTGTGTGATAGCCTTTTAAGTGGGACAAATGGAGTATGTTTACTTAAATATATTCAATTCATTTAGATTTTATTTAAAATATACTTTACTTAAAAATAATTCAATTAGTTAGATTTTATTTATTATTAAGATATTTCATTTCTCTTTAATTTCAACAATTACTTTAGATGCAGGTTGTAATAATTTTTTTGTCTTAAAAGAAAATACTTGGAGGGCATTGAAGTAACTCACCAAATCTGGAATATAAGATATCTTTCAACCAAATAAATTAATGTCGCAATCTCTTAATCTTAACCAAACACAAATGGAAATAAATGGAATATATTCTCATCAATCTGACATACCTAGCAATGTAACATTCACATGACAGTCTTACATTCCTTGAACCAAATGAGCCCTAAGTGTTGAGGTATGCTTTATAATAACTCATGCAGAAGATTTATTATCAAATACTTCCTCCGTCCCAATATAAAAGGCACACTTTCCTTTTCGGGCCGTCCCAATATAAATGACACATTTCCCTTTTTGGCAAACAAAACAGTGCAAAACAGTGTCAAACAGTGCCCAAACAATGTCAAACAGTGTTCACCCTAAATATGTGTGGAAACGCAAATGTGCCTTTTATATTGGGATAGAGGGATTATAATCAAACATTTGGGACGTAGCTCAAATGGTATATAGGAGGCACTGCAAGGGATGAATTTCAGTTTTTAATCCTTTAACTGCGATGAGGTTAATATGTAAAAGTGATAAATGTAAGTGTTTAGGCTAGAGTCTCAATTGCTATATATATACTCCGTATCAATCTATAAATACAGTCCAATTTACATTTTTTAGTTATCATTTCTTTTAAAGATAGACAATGTCAACACACAAAGACAATGTAGTTGAATGTTAACTCTGAGTATAGGGTTAAAAGGGAGACTCCGATGAAGGGGTGGAGAAGAAAGTAGGTGATGTCAGCACTGAAATCACACGATGAAGAAGGCTGGTCTCCGCGATCACCGATGAAGGGGCGGAGAAGAAGGCAGGTATCGACTATGAAGGCTGATGTCGGCAATTAATGTCAAAAGGGAGAAGCCGGGGTTAAAAGGGAGACTCTGATGAATGGAGATGTCTATACTGTAAGGACAATTAAAAACCAGCTGAACGAATAAGTCATGTAAGGTCTGAGCGAATAAGTCACGTTTTATATTAAGTCACAAGTAAACATGACTATATAGCTGAGCGAATAAGTCATTCTATTAAGTTCATTAAATTTGAAGTAAACATGCCCTAAGTGAGTAACCATACCCATTATGAGCACCCACGACTGCCACGAGATTATGAAAGCCACATTCAATTGCCTATTTCAAATCCCAGGCGGTGAAGTTATGTATACTTGTGATCTTCTCTCCTTTTGAGTATGAACACTTGATGCATCTCCCAATTCACTGTTTCTATAAGGGA